GGTTTATAAATATTCAGAAATATTCACACACAGAGAAAGAAGATGAATATGATCAGGACTCTCCCTTACTTTCCCTTTAAGATAAAGGTAGCCAGTTGGCAAAACACATTTTTTTTTTAAAAAAAATGTGTCTAACATTATTTATCTGTTGGACTTTGGATTTCTGTTTTAATTTCTGAATGACATCTCCCCCCAAATCCTGTCTCCCTTCCCCTATGACCCCAGAATGCTTCCTTCAGCACACAGAGAGATAACTTCTAATTCCTTGTCACCTCCATATCCGTGCATTTGAATACTGAACACCTTTCCTTATTATTGCATTAGAAAATGTGCTGGTGAATTTAGCTTCCATGTTGCAGGAGGGGGAACACAGAGGTTTAAAAACAGATAAAGTACCTTCAGATGGTGCAAGACTGCCAGTTAGCTTGTGCAAAACACACAAACCCTCATCCTTTCTTATCTGATCCTTAGTGTTCTGCCTCTCAATTTTTTATCACAAGCTGTTTGCTTATCACAAACCAAAACCTATGGCAAACCTATGGGGCAAAGAAGTGACTGCAGCCAGGACAGGGGCATGAAAGTAATTGTCAGGAACACAGATAGTCAGGAGGTGAATTGTGCCAGACAGAAAAGCAGGGAACCCTTCTGGCTTGACACAAGCAGGTGTTGCTTGGAAAATCAGGCACTCTCTCATGCCACTGTGAAAGCAATGCAGTAAGCGATTCAGATATTGCAGCAGACACAGCTTTCTGTGGGGAAGCCCAGCTGCTTTGTAGCAACAAAGCGAGAGAAAGAGAGGCAGTTTCCAGACCTGGATCAGTGTCAGAGCAGAAGGGAATCTCTCATTGGTCCTCTGAGGTTTGGGAAGCAACCAGAGGAATTTCACCGCTATGCAAGGATGGTCAAAGATTGTGCATCGCGTCTACGCATCGCAGGGGAGGGCTTGCTGCTTTGATACTCCTGGACTGAACAAGTTCTGATAGGTTGGTAACTCCGTATTTTTCTGATTGTTTCTTTGAGGAAGAAGGATGCTTCATAGACTGCCGGCTCTGCTCACCTGTACACTGCGTTTGCAATAATGAAATCTATTGGCTATGAAGCCTAAATAAATAAATGAATAAACCTGCATATGTAGATTGAGATTGAGCTTTTAAGACTGTGACTGTTTTGTTGGAAAAAAGAAGGCACTTATGAGTTCCAGTAGTCATTATCTAGATAAGGATTATTTGATAGAGAATGAGATTCTTTAACTGACTGTAGGTGGCTTTGGTCAGTTTCTGTTTAGTTTTACTTGAGATTCTAGGCTGCAGGTGAATTTTCTACGAAGCTGCATCCTTCCCCAAATGTGTGTCTGTCTGTGTCTGTGTGTGCTTGGGCAAGCATATCTGTGTGCAAATGCAAATGCAAATGCAAATGTGCAGAAATGTCATTCAAACATTTTGATACAAAGGTAACTAATGGCATATTTTAAAGTTTCACTTTGTCATGGGACAAAGGGTTTGTGTCTAATCAATGAAAAAGAAAGCAGGAGAGAAGAGTTTGGATTCTGAAAAAAGACCTGGCATAAGATCCTCAGTCCGAATGGTGGGATGGAGTCTCTAATCCTGAAATGATATATTTGGGTTGCTGATATAATTCTGTTTTTTTTTTAAATGTTGTCAACTCATTGCAGCAGTGGATTTTTGCAGAAACAAATAGAGTTTGAGAGGAAAGTACTGCCGGTACGTTGGATGCTAAAGTACAGTCAACTTTGTATATTGCAGTAATATCAGTCATGAACTAGTTATCACAAGAAGTGCTATAATTCGGGGAGAATCAATATTCACAGTTTCAGCAGGTCTTTCTTTCCCACACAGATTTTTTTCTTAAATGCCACCACTGATTTAATATTCCTTAGGTCTGCAGAAACCAAAGAAAATCATAATATAGTCATCAACATCACAGCATGATAGCAAATTATCTGCATTTATTGTAACAACCCAAATGTATTTTTCATTTTTCCATCAATGCTCACCATAAAGCATTAAGCTTAGATTTACCTCTATATTGTCGAATGTACAGAATTGGCTATGCAATATTTGTTTTGCTTCTCTCCATATATTTTTGTGAAAGGATACTGTTTAAAACTTCTTCTGAGCTTTATGGCTCGCATCTATTCCTGTTTATTTGGACAACAGTAACACATTGATAAGGCTGTATTTTGACTCCTTGTAATCACAAAGGAACTGAAATTACATGGCCAATGGTAGCAAGTGCACTTTTTCATATGCTGTGTGCTAATGCCAAATGTTATTTAAGTAGTTATGTAGAAGTTTTTCCCCAAGCTTTTCCATTTTGATGGAAAAAAATATAACATGTTTCCCATTCAATCTTAGGTTGGATGGCATTATCAAACAAAAGTAATCAGCAGCATAGTCTTGTACATGTTTACTTGGAAGTAAGCTTCACTGAGTACAATGGGACTTCTTTCTAGGTAATTTGGTATAGGATTGCATGCTTAGTCTTCAACGCAAGAAAAGAAAGAAAGAAAATGCATGCATTAAACTTATTCTACTGCAGACTAATTGCAAATGTGACAAATTAGAAAAAATGAGATTCTGAATCTAAATAAACCATCTCACCGTGGCCTTCCTATTTGTTTCAAAGGAATATGTTAATTTTCTGGGGTTTATGCATAAATCAGTAAAATCTGGAGGTATTTATATGTAATTTGAATGAAGTACAATTTGAATGGTAAGCACCAGATTCCCAAACAACTTCCTGCAGCTTCATTTCACAAAACCAGAGATGAAAGCTACTTCAAAGGCCATCTAGACCTCCTGCTGCTCCAGGAAATCCATCACTACACCACCAAAACACTCTGATAGCCATCCAGCCTCTGCTTAGAAACCTCTAGCAAGGAAGAGTTTATTACTATCTGTTCCCTGGTTAATGCAATGCATACTTGTCTTACAAAACACACCCTTGCTACACCTATTGGTGACCCCTCCCTTAAGAGATTTCAAAAATGGATTATTCAGCTTTATGGATGATAGGCCTTTTGCCATCGATAGAAGCAGAGAAGATACCCTCACCATCATGCCAGCATCTCAGGGGTACTAATGTGGCCAGTGTTTGCATACCAGATTAGATAGTCTAATGAAGTGTTTTTCAAGCTATCGGAGATCATAGAATCACAGAGCTGGAAGAGGCCCCATGGGCCATCAGATCTAATCCCCTGCTGAATTCAAGATCTCCAGCTTGAGCAGTGATTCCCAAACTTTGGTCCTCCAAACGGTTTGGACTTTGGCTCCCAGAATTCCTGACTGTTGACCAAGCTGGCTAGGACTTTTGGGAGTTGAAGTCCAAAATACCTGGAGGACTGAAGTTTGGAAATCTCTGAGCTAGATCATCCCCAGCAGGTAGCTGCCCACCCACTCTTTGAAGATGTCCAGAGGAGACTCCACCACCTCTCTAAGCAATTGATTCTATTGCTGAATTGCTCTTACTATCAATAAGTTCCTTCTAATGTTCAGTTGAAATCTATCCTGCTATAACTTCATACCATTAGCTCTAGTTTTACTCTCTGGGGCAACAGAGAACAGGCCTGCTCCCTCCTCTCAGTGATAACCCTTGAGGTATTTAGAGATTGCCATCATGTCACCCCTCAGCTCTTTCAACCTCCCTTCATATGTTTTGTTCTCCATACCTCTTATCATCCTCATTGCCCTTCTCTGAACCCACTCCAACTTGTCTATGCCCTTCTTAAAACAAGGCACCCAAGTGAACACAGTACTCTAGATGAAGCCTGACCAGCACAGAATATAGTGGGAATATTGCCTCCCTTAACTTGGAAACTATGGTTTTATTAATGCAGGCTATGATAGCATTTGCCTTCTCTACTGTATCATCACAATGCTGGCTCATGTTCAACAATCCCAAGATCTTTTTCACATGTAGTACTGCTGAGCCATGTATTCCCCATCCTATACCTGTGCATTTGGGGTTTTTTGGCCTAGATGTAGAATTTTGCATTTCTCTCTGTTGAATGTTGAGGGGATTATAGCACAGCTTAAAATAGCGACTTACCCCTTCCAAATTCAAGTCTAATTTGGGCTGCATCCAGATCTTATCGCACGGCTTCTCCCTCCCCAAAAAAACCCCACCATCCGAGTATAGCCCAGCTGCAGCTCGGGTCCCTTAACTCGCTTCAGAGGCCATTTTTCAAAGCCGAAAAGCTCCCGACTTTGAAAAATGGCCATCGAAGTGAATTAAGGGACCTGTGTTGGAGCCTGGCTGTACTCAGATGGCATTTTTTGGGGGGGGAAAGCCATGCAATAGGACCTGGATGCAGCCAAAAATAAACTTGAATTTGGGCGGGGTAGGTCGCTATTTTAAGCTGTGCGATAATTCCCTCAGATTGAGATATTATGATCTGTTGGATTCAAGACTTTAATGGGAAGGAATACTATGATATAGGCATTGTGCTTTTCCCCCCTCAAAACATTTCCCTCAAAAGAGCTTGTTTGAAAGGCAAATCAGTCACAAGAAAGAAGAATGAGAAAATCCAGATAAAATGCTTTATACAAAGGAAGGTATTCAAGTGGGGGAAGTGAAGTGTGGAGAACTGAAGTCATAGGAGGAAAAAAAGATAAGAATCTTCACTGATACTACCTTCAAACTACCTTCATTTGTCTTCTTAAGAACATAAGAAAAAGAAGGGCCGCACCAGATAAACCACCAAACCCATCGATCAAATTGGTATTATCTCTTATACAACTAGCAAATTCCCTCTCCTGATGCAAACAAAGCAGAAACGTTGTTCCTACCCAAGAGGGAACTCCAGGTTTTGCAGAGGTTGTTGTTGTTGTGTGCCTTCAAGTAATTTCTGATTTACAGCAACCCTCAAGCGAACCTATCACAGGGTTTTCTTGACAGCATTTGTTCAGAGGGGTTTTGCCTTTACCTTCCCCTGAGGCTGAGAGAGTCTGACTTGCCCAAAGTCAACCAATGGGTTTCTATGGCAGATCAGGGATTCAAACCTGGGTCTCCAGTGTCCTAGTCCAACACTCTAGCCACTAAACCATGCTGGCTCTCTTGCAGAGATACAAGAAATATTTGGGGTGTATTGGGGCAAGGACCGCAAAGAGCACTATGAAGGATGACTATGCTCAGTGGGCATAAAATAATGTTTGTGGAATAAAACCCCCCAAAAGCAGAAAAGGGGTGAAATGGAGTATCATGAAAAACAGCATGGCTGTCTAGCTGGCAACCTAAAGAAATGCACGGCACATTTTGTTTCAGATCCTCAGTATATTGTCGTTGCTCTGGTCATTCGTGGACAGGTCAATGTTGAAAAGTGATAGTGGGAAAGTACTATTCTACCGCATGAATACAGACTTATAGAGAGCCACAGGAACCCATTGTGGGTCCTTGCTTTGTGACTTTTACACTTGAAACTTCTAGGGCAAAGCTGACAGAAGTTTGGGTATCACCAGTATGCTGAAGAGACCGAGACTGGCTGTGTGAAACAAAGAATAGGAAAGCATACATGGAAACATTCCACATGTAGAAATCAACCAGAATGACAGCTGATCATGTTAACTGTTATAGCACTATGATTCCACTTTAACTGCCATGTCCACATCCTGTGAAATCCCGGAGTTGTAGTTTGATGAGGCATCAAATCTCTCTGGCTGGATATTCTAAACATCCTCTAAACTGCAAGTCCCAGGATGCTATAGGATGGAACCATGGCAGTTAAAATGGAACACTAGCATTATAATTGTTTATAGCTATAATTGTTGTGGAAGGACCCATTTCTTCAAGATACACCACTATATCTAAGGTCAGCAATATTATTTGATGGGCTTCAGAACAGGCACCAACATCTCACTCCTTCTCTTTCAGCAATTGCCACCTCAAGGAGTCTTGTATTGCCTAGTGCCACCTTTCCTTGGGTACCTGACAGATGCTTCGGACATCAGCTCCTATAATCTCTCACCACTTTGTTGGCTGGCATGGTGGGAATTGCAGTCCAAAAACTGAAGGGCACCAGGATTTGGAAGGCTGGCCTGATGGTGTAGCCAGTCCCAGATGACATCCATCTCGCTCTTTCTTGTTGATCTCAGAGAGGTGGCTGAGATCCTGAACTACTATAAGGCATCAGTATTGTGTTTTAACCTTCTGTCAGAATGACTCTAACTCTGATGCCACAACAAACTACAAATCCCAGAATTCCATGGCATTGAGCCATGGCAGTTAAAGCAGTGTCAAATTGCAGTATTTCTACAGAAAAATTATACCTGAGCATTGGGCTAGAACTCTAGAAGGTCAGGGTTCAGATCTCCACTCAGCCATGGAAAAAACACTGGGTGACTTTGGTCAAGTCATATTCCTTCAGCCTCAGAGGAAGGCCATGATGAACCCTCTCTGAACCAATCTGGTCAAGAAAACCTCACGATAGATTCACTTGACTGTCACCATAGTCAGGAACAATTTGAAGGCATACAACAGCAACATGGCCTAGACACAGGCTAGCTTAAGAACTATCTTTTCCCCATCATGGAATGGTAGAGTTGAAAATAATCTTAAGGGCACTTAGTCCAGCCTCTCTACTCAGTGCAAGCATCTTACAACTCCAGCATCCCTACCTCTCTAACCTTTGCCTAAATACCTCCAGCATGGAAAAACCTACCACTTGCAAAGACAGATCCTTCCACTGTCAAAGGATGGGACAAATAGTATGCTTCAGGGCCCAGTGACGTGCTCATCTGCCCACTTCTTTATGTTCAATTCACACAATTCACACTCTCTCCATAACAAAACAACAGTCATTCCCAGCATCAACAGTACTTTTTTCTGTTTGCAACAACTCTAATAATTTATATTGCCCCAATTACAACTGCTTCTTGGTTTCCATGTATTTCACAGTACTGTGAATGGCCACACTATTTTTTCTATAACATGGTGGATGTGACTTTCATGTAGTATTGCTTCTTTTGCAAAAATTGCATCTTTGCTTTTGTTCCCTTTCCCTGCCAACCTCTGCCTTTAATTACAATTTTCAGTTTTTTGGTGAAGGGAACTACAATTCCCTTCTCATTGTGGGTAACTGATCGGTTTGGCTAATGTGAACAGCGGATACTTGGTTCTCCTTGGACAGATACCCAAATGAGATTTCAGAGGAATGATGGAGTTCCAACTGTCTAGCAATCCAAATTAATCAAATTCACTAGCTTAGATGAGAGTGATGTCAGAAGCCAGAAAACTCAGTAGGAAACCCACATTCATATACCTGTTTTGGATTTCCCTCCTGAATAGGCACTAAATTGTGGCTAGGTGTGAAGTACATTGAAAGTCACAATTACAGTTGTGTGTCTTCGTGTCATTCCCAACATGGCAACCTTTAGACAAATCTATCACAATCCCTCAAGCAAAAATAAAGAAAATAAATTACTTTTCAAAGAGATAGGCTCAAAGAGGATCCTATCTTTATAGAAACACCAGCTGATGAAAGGGTATGGGTTGTCCTTGTTTAAGCAGGTGTGTGTGTGTGTGTGTGTGTGTGTGTGTGTGTTATTTTAAGGAATGAGTAAGTAAAAGAGCAGCCCAATTCCCTCCTCCTTGCAGCTCAAATCATTTTCTAGTAACGATGTTTGTGGTCTCACAATTCACTCAGACATTTTAGATGACTTCAATATGTGGTTTAAATGCAATAATAAAAGACCATGCTGAGGATAATACATTTTTAATCCAGTTATCCTGCTCCATTCAAGATCTTATTACTGCTGCCCAGGAAACCAACCACTGTGTTTATGGATATGTGGCCACTGCAAACTGCCTTCTCAAGTCATATCGTTGTGACACATGCATGTTAAAAATAAATTTTTATTGCAAGTGAAGCAATGAAACTGCTGCCCCAAATTTGTAGTGGTTTTCAGAGAAGTTGCTGTATTAGTCTGTTGCAGCATAAATGAGAAAAAAGAAAGAAACAAAGAAATCCAGCAGCACCTATAAGACTGATTTTTATTTTAGCATGAGCTTTCATGGATATCAATCCCATTTCCTCAGTAGCAATAACTGAGTAACATTAGTCTCAGGTTACTAAGTATATTTATATAATTGTGGGACTTGGATAGAATGTAATAGGATCCAGAATGATGAAAATCATGACTCTCACCCTAAATTTTCAAAGGGCTGTGTGAGCTTCACAGAACACAACACTTTCAGATCTTTATAGTGGTCAGTTAGTATTGAAATGTGAAAACATTAACTCTGCTTACCTTGAGGTCAAAACCTTCTCTGACAAGATTTCTTTTGTTATGTGTGCACTTGTGAGGACTTACACATGAATATATGTACTGTGCCATGAAGCCATTATCTTTGTTCATGCCTCAGCTGTTTCTCTTCCCAAACCTCTTTTGTAATTTCTTTTGTCTGAGGACTACTACTTGTAAATCTCAGATTGCATGTCCAGGAAGGCTGAAATGCTCCATAACTGGTTTTGGGATATTGCCATTTCTAGATTTGTGTCCACTGTGTAGAGATCTTCCTGCTTGTCCAATGTAGAGTGAAGGCATGCATTGCTGACAGAGAACGACATCTGTCACATCGGAGAATAAGCAAATAAATGCATTGCTTATGTTGTAATGTTGCTCAAGTGGTTAAGACAATGTTGACTGCAAGATTGGCAAGTTGGCAGTTCGAGGCCCGGGTGC